AAATCTGGAACCACCACGACATCCCTCCACTGAGGTGCTTTTGGCAGTTGGGAGACTTTTCTTTGTTTTTAAATATATCACCTCCTTTTCTTTCCTCTACCTCTATTCCATGGCCATGTTCTAGCTGCCAATATCAATAAGTTAAAGTCAGCCTTTTAATTCAGAAGAGCTGTTTGCAAGATGCAGCTTTCAATCATCTTTCATGGGAACGGAAGGATTCCCATGGCAGCGAAAGAGAAAAGCTTGGGGTCTGGCAGACTGATGATGTAGCTTCAGACAGGAATCTGCTTGCTTGTTTGCTTGTTTGTAGTAAAATCCCTTCCCTTCTCCTTGCATATATCACTAAGACAATAATCAGGTTTTGCAGCAAAACATTCCCAACATTTTTTTGGCCAGAATTGCATGTGCAGCTCCAGTGTCACAGAGCATCTGTGTGACCTGCTGCCTCACAGCTGTCTGAAAAAGCTGGGCATTCTCTGCATTTTGTAAGATTTTCAGAAATCCAAGCCTGGTCTGTTAGATTTTTTCACTCTCTCATCTTGTCCCAGTTGGCATCAGAAAATTTTCCCAGAGGCAGCAGGTAGCATGAAACAGAGCTGAGCTGTGTCTGGTCATACTTGAACTCCACTTACTGTAGCAGTGAATCTCCATAAAAAGTCTATTCCACATTGGGTTTGCAGAACACCCAACTTTTTAAAGGAATCTTTTACTAATGAGTTCATTCACCTCAATAGAAATTACTCTGCAGAACTGGGCACTAGTTTTTATCTGTCCTTTGAGCCCACCAGCAGAGCACACAATCACTCCCAAAGCAAACACATTCCACTGTGACTACCAGCAGATGGAATAGCAGGCTCTGTTGGCATGGGTGAGGTTATTGCTTGAGAAAAAGTGCAGTATTGGACCCCTAAGGAGTGAAGGTCAGCAGAAGACGGGGCTGACAGGATGATATGTGCACTCTGCAATTCCACTGTGTCCACTACCCACTGCACGGCCTGCTAACATCTCACCCTTGCCTTTTTTATGAAACAATCCGTATGCTTTCAGCTCAGAAATAGAGCTCTTTTGAAGTTTAAAAGCAGTTATGTCATAGCTGAAACAGCTGTTCAACAACCACCCAAGCAAGCGGCAGTTCCCTGTGCTGCCTTTCCAGAGCTGAGCCGGCTTTGTGCGTCCGTGTGTCCCAGCACAGAGGAGTGCAGGAAGCACAACCAGCTGGAACAGTATTTCAGAGAATGCCTGTGGATGGGTTTAACCTCCACAACATGGCACTGCCTGAAAGCTGGTGCACAGTGGACACTGCTCTGTCTGTGCTACCCTGTGATCAGCAGACAGGGAGCAGATGTGGACTCTCCCCCACCGCTTACAGGTATTTTTCAAGGTGGGAAGAACTGCCACATTTGACCATTTCATGGATTTCACAACCTTGTTGCAACACAAGCGTACAACCCTCAAACCTCTGCACCTGTGCATTCAGGGAATTCAGGCTGATGTTTCTGCTATTTCCTCACAACTGCTGGCCCAGGGCTTGTGCCTTGCTGGTGTCAGCCATGGCGTGGGCTGACAGCCCCAGTGAGGTCAGCAGGACAGTGTGGCCACCCACAGCCCTTCACATGGCTCCTCCAAAAGCTTGGTGCCAGCTCACAAAAACATCAGAGTAAAATAAGACCCTCAGAGAGATCTTCTACAACTTATAAATCCCCATCACAGCTCTCCCACCCACCAGTGTCAGTCAGGCTTTGCTTCCTTCTGAGAGGCTGGTACCCAGGCTGCCATTGCACCAGGCAGGCGGGCTTCAGTGCCCATAGCTCATGAGCATCACCTTGTAATTCCATCCAATTTGATGCTCTAGGTGTGACTTCAGACTACTGTCATGGAAGAAATAACAGGTAAAAGAGAGTACAATTTACAGAAATGAAGCTGGAGATGGCGCCTCATTTCTCCCAATAAAGAGAACAGAGGGCTGCAGACAATTTCATCTTCAAACACTGGGTCTTACTGTTGAAGCCAATTTTTCAAAACAAACCACAAGTCAATGACCTCTGGCATGCCACAAGATGTGAATAACAGCATAAATACATTCCTGTCAGCCTACTTATGGACATTTCTCATAATATCTCGGAACAGCACAGAAGACCACACTGAATATGAAGTTTCCATGATTAACCAATGTTTTGCAGTGCTGTGATTATGGTTTAACCAAAAATTATTGCTTTGGTTCAGCACTTCAGCATCATCATCATCAAATTATCACATTGCAATATTTTGCTCTACGCAGTCATTGCATTCAAAGCAGTGTTTGCTAAAAGAGAGAACTGAGTTGAGGTCTTCAGCACTTCTGAAGTATGGGAGGGTTGCAAGGAGTTTGATTAGTCCAAATGGACTTTGAGGTCCATAATTTGCACGGGCCTCCATGACAGAACTTTTTGAGTACTCCTTCATTCTGAATTTATAAGGCCTGTTAGTAAAGATAATTGCTAATGGATGGGCTCTATCTAAATCAAAGTCCAGTTCCTGGCCTCAAAACCAGGATGAACAGGGGAATGATGCTGCTAGGAGAGAGGAAGGGTGCAAGTCAACAAAGAAACTATAGTCAACAGTCTAAGCAACATTTTCATTTAGCGTAGAAATGTTGATGTTTTTCATTCATTGACATTTAAACTGCTGTTTATCAATGACAGATGTGTTATTATTTGGGCACTTCAAAAAATTTGAAAATTTGGTTGTTTTGTGTTTTGTACAAACCATGGTGGTTTTTTTTAATTTTGAACTTGCAGTATGGAAGCACACTGTAACAACAAGACATTCCAAACCAAAGTTAAAAGCAACATATTTCTGTCTCATAGCAGATCATTTTGAGTTTATCTGAGGTATAGCTAGCTGGCTAGATATAAAAAATATAAATGCCAGCCAAGGTTAGGGATGTCCACTGAATGCCTCAGCATCACCTCAGTCCTGGAATTTTGACCAAAATATGTTATGCAGATAATGATGGAGGGCTACAATTCCATGAAATAGTAATTTTTGAAATGGTCAAGCTCTGGGCTGATCCTGCAATGGAGGTGTTTTAGGTGGAGACTATAGCCCGTTTTGCACCTTGTCCCAATTTCCAGCTTGCCTGGGAGTCCCTGCCACATCAGAGGTATTTTGTGTGGTCACTGCAAACACTGGAGCTGCTCAAACACTGAATATGAGTCAGTTGTTGAATTTTGGGTTTGGTTTTTAAATGATTTTGAAGTGGGTCTCCCTTCATAGGAGATAAACTGAAATGCCTTTGCAAACATTACCCATGCAACTGCATTCTTAGGGCAGAAGCTGACTGGGACCAAGCATGAGAGCATCTGTTAAAATAGCAGGCAAGTCACTTAAGCTGGAATTATTTCTCTAAGGGCCGAGTCAGACTGGGTGGCACCATCGAAGGAGGCAAGTTTGGGTGACGGCTTTCAGACAGTGCGTGGTACTTGAACTGAATCCTACCTTGAATGTTTTTAAAGAGAGAAAATGGGGAGACAGTGGACTGCATACATTAGCTTTGTACCTTTTAAAGAATTTCATCTCGTGGTTGGAGAAACCCTTAACCCTGCAACACTTGAGTGAATGTTGTGACAGGAACCCGTCCTGGTTCGACTACTTGACTGGCATTACACAGAAAGACCACTTCAGAGCTGAACTGTCAGGTCAAGCTTAAGAAAAGATTTTTAAGACATTTATTTTTTGTTCTAATCCTCTATTTTATTTCTAAGTTTACTCTTTTGGGCAAATTTCACATAGCCTGCTTTTATGGAAACAGCTTCTTTAAACACTAAAAGAAAATTATGCCCTTTGGTGCTTTTAATTCACTGTCTTTGCAGTAATTCATGCCAAAAAAAGGTGGCAGGGGAGCCCTTATAAAGCTTTATTAATTGAAATAAATGAACCATGCTTTGGAGAACAGTGTACCATAGAGGAAGGGCTGCCTTCTGAATCCTGCTCCCATAGATGTCCCTTGTGATTTCAGGCATGTCGTAAAATCCACTGTCCACCTCGTTTTCCCACCTTATTAAGATGAGGCTGAGGTTGTTCTTTACCTGAAACCCCTGGGCATTGTGAAGTCCGACTCAGGGCTTCAGAAGAACTTGGAGGACCAGGAATTTTATTTTGAAAACCATAGCAAGCACTAGCCTTTCCCAGAGAGTGGCATTTATGAGCTTACTTTCATTAGTCCCTTAGCTTTTTCTTTTTCATTTGAATCTGGAAAAATGTGTTGAAAGTCATTTCAGGGGGGCCTCTGGGAGAAATCAAGCTTCTTGCAGAGTGGGAGCTCTAGGGGATCACAAGTGGTGAGGTCAGCTCCCCAAATCCACCCAACAGGAATAGAAAAACCTCACTGGTTTGAGGATGGCCTCAAAGCCTCCACTGGCTTTAGGTTGGACCCAAACACTTGACTTTTTCCCAACTCTTTCATTTGTACATTCAGTCTCAGAGAAAAGGGAAGGTGAGAAAGAGAGACAGAAGTATGTGTCTGCTCCCCTCCTCCTCTCCTTCTCCCCAAAGATCATTTCCATCCATCCAACTTCTTTCCCAGATATGGTATCATTTGCTTCTGTGACTAATCTCTGGGTAGGAGAAAAAATTATTTTGAAAGTTCAAGAGAAACATAAGCTGCACATTTATAAGTGTTTTTCTCCTCTTCCTTGGCTCTGAATGACCAGAGTTTTATTATTCCTCTTGACTTCATGCTGAGATAGGTACTTTCCTTTCAAGCAGGGCCTGCTGCTGGCAGCAGGCAACAGAGGCTCCAAACCTGGGATACTCTTTTCATGTCTGAGTCTTCCATTAACACCAATACTTTAACCTTTTCCACCCCTCCACCCCCATTTGGTGTTAATGCTTTTGGATAAAGATGGCCCAGGAAGGTTGAGGTTTCAAGGAAAAGTAAGTATTACGAAGACAAACCAACCAGGGCTCAGAATTTTACTCTCCACATGCATCATGATCTCACTTCATGTGTCTTTTTACAGGCCTGCTCCAGCACACAGAGAGACCCAGATGTTGGTGTGTCATCATGAAACCCGCAGTGATGGGGAGCCAAACTTACCTCTAGTCCCAGCTCTTCATGGAGAGATGTCCCTGGGGGACCCAGCAGTGGCAGATCAGACTCAGTGACACAAACAGGGTCAAGAACAGACGTTTGGCTCTTCATGAACTGCTTGGAGGAAAAGGCAGCAGCAGGGTAAGGTTACTGTGTTGTCTGGTTCCTGCCCTCAGGGCCACGCTTGGCCCATGCACAGCCAGAGAACGCAGCCAGCATTGTCCATCATACAACTACACAACCACCACCACCGTGCCTGCAGAGCACACATTGTCTGAACTAATGGGCCTTCAAGAGGATCCTTCTGTTTGAGAGATGATATCACAGATTATATCTGTGTTCACTTTTGGTCTGGACCGTTGCTAAGAGAAAAACAATTCTTGGCAAATTCCTTGAAGTGCTTGCTTCCTACGGTTTGGATGAACACAGTTTGTTCAAGAAAGTTGGGTAGGTGTGAGTTTCTGTCTGTTCCCCTTTTGAGAATTATTTTTGCCAGTGCAAAACTGAAGATAATAATGCTCCCATTAAAAATGAGGTGAACGCTCAGGCTAACTTGAGTGGGTGGAAAGGACTTCAAACAGGATGAATCTGGGGACAAACCTATTCTTGCCAAGACAAACAGCTGCAGAGATCTCTGGAAAGAAAAAGGGCCCTCCAGCACTGCTGTTCAAATAATTCAGACGCATAGGGCTGGTTGAGGCTATGTATCTATCACATTATAATTAAAACCAATGGCTTTCATATGAAGAGAGAAAAGGTGCATCAGAAGTCATGAAAGAGGACTGGAGAACTGATATCATTAGGACAACAAACTGATATTCCTTAGGACAACAAAGATATGGGATGAGTGCAAACCAAAGCAGAAAGCTCTCACTCTTCGTCCTACATCTGTCTTTCATTTGCTTTGCCTCTATCTGCCAGTTGTTGATGTTTTCTCACATTATCTTGGTCCCTTTGTTCAAACTGCATTTCATTCCAAGAAAGCAGGGAGCTCCAGGTGTGAATGAGGGCTGTGAGCGTGAACTCACTGTCGCAGTTATTATTGTTATCATTCCTCTGAAAATCAGCTTGGTGGAGGTTTGGCTCTGTGCAATTTGTTCTGCCATTTTAACCGTATCCTTGTTAAATGTAGAAAATGGAATGAAAATGTGGAAAATGAAGTGCAGTGCTTTGAATGATGGCTTGCACACAAAGGTGCAGTCTTAGCTAACAAAGTGCTGGTGTACTGTGGAGCAAGGTGTTCGAGGTTGCAGGTTTGGGACTCAATTGCTGCTCAAATGAGTCAGGTGCTCAGGACTTGCTGTGCTTCTTTTTAATGGGAGAAACTGTATGTTAAGAAAGTTAATACAGAATTTGAAATGCTCAATAAAGTTTCAGTGGTCTTTATTTTAAGACCCCTGTGATATTAAGTAATTGTATTCCCACCATTCAACTATTTAGCAATCTAAACACATACTATTTTCCCCATTACTATTGTTTCCATTATTGGCAGTAGACTTGTGGATGTCTGGTTATTTTTGTCTTTGGACATTCCCTGTGTACATCCAACTGGGCCCTGATCTTTTAATATATTTTTCAGCGGTTCCCTCTGCTCCCACTGGGCCCCTGGAGATGTTGTGGAACTCCTTTGTGTGTATTGGATGAACACATCTCTGGGATGAGCCTGGAGCAGACAACTGCCATAACATTAAGCTGAACTCCAGTTTTCCCCCCAGCTTGGCATGATGTGTTCATTCCCTCCGCAAATCAGGTGCAGCCAGCAGGAACAGCTCAGCCCTGATTCAGTGGGGATTAAGAGCACAAACAACGGTGTGTTTCTCCTCAGATCCTGCCTAAAACACATTTGCCTGCCAGTCATACTGTAGCCTCATTTGTGAAATGATGATGGCTGTGTGATCAGTGTGCTGGAACTGTCATTTGGCTAATAATTTTTGAAACTGTTCACATACGGTTGGAGGTCTCAAATATAATAATTTTTAGGAGTTTCATGAGAAAAAGCATCAGGAAGTACAGATAGAAGGAAAGCTCTATTAGTACCTCTGCTCAGGGAGAGGTAAGAAGTTCAATCATTAATAAGTACTGACATATCTGCAGTGAGTTGAAGGGGACAGGTGTGCTATGAAAAAAACAAAAATAACCCAGAAGTCTTCATTAGCTCGTTGCTTACAGCAAAACATGCTTAAAGAAAAAAAAAGAGACTTGCCAAAAGAGGAAGATACAGAGGCATTTTGTGTTTAAGTTCTCTGCTAGAAAATGACACCCCCCACCCCAAGAGGCAAAATGTCTCCCGAGTATTTTTTACCCCATTTAAACGCTCATCAGAAAGAGAAGACAACAACACTCGCATTGTAATTTAAGAACGGTTAAAATAAAAATAAATTAATAGACAAACAAAACAACCAGCAAATATGGCAGCAGGATGCAGTTGGATACTTATGCACTGAGCTTCTCTGCAGAAGCCATCCATCCTTAGCCTGAAACCAAAGAGTGGTGCAGGACAGCGCTGCAAACCTCTGCTCAGGGACACCTGCCTGTGGCCTGCAGGCCCACGGGGATCCCTCACCTAATTCTGCAGTTTGCAATAGGCAGAGAAAAGGTGTTAGATACATTACAAGTACAGCCAGCAGCCTGTACTCTCAGTGGAAAATGTTCAAAGGTCACAAGCTGAAACAACAGGAAATCACAGAGCAGACATGGAGAGCACGTAGAGGCCTAATTTACCTAAATACTCCTTCCAACCCACTCAGCGTGGGGAGCACTTGTGGGTGGCACTCAGGCGGTTTGGGAACTGGGAAGCACTGATCCGAAAAGGAGATAGGCTGCTGGATGGGAACGTAGATACTAAGCCAGTCCACAAGAAACCCAATCTTCTGCCCTAAGCTTTTCCCATCACAGCTTCCCCTCTTCCTGGTGCAAATCTATAAACAGGAAGATCTCAAGTTAGAGCAGAAAGCTGCAATTACAGACTGGGAGCACAGGGAGAGGTCAAGGGAAGGAGAGGCTTAAGGAAACAGCACCACTGAGCCAGGATCTGGCACTGCTGGCTGAAGGTTTGTCTCGTTTTCAGACCTGTGGCTGAACGGGACCCTTAAGAGCAAAAGGATTTGGCAGACTGGGACTGCCCATGGCCAGGGATAGCCCTTGGATGGACCACACAGACTCTCCAGATGGGCTGTGACTCCAAAGACAGGATGGCAAGCAGCTTTGACTGTCTGGTTGGTATTTCAATAGATGGGCTCTTTTTAACTTTGTTTTTTAGAGAGTTTCCCTTCTATTTTGCAACAGCAGTTCCTTCCTGTGCCAGGGGTAGCTCATTCAAACCAGCTCAAGTGTTTATACCTCCCACCGCATTTCCTACAGTGGGTATTTCTAAAACAGCCTCGCTGGTGGAGTCCTCTCAAAATAACGTGTTAAAGACCAAATGATTTAGCACATAATTAAGGAGTAAACAATGATGTTGCGATCAGCAAGAAGTCTGCAGTGTCAGCTGCAAGGCAGGATTTGCATGCAAGAAATATGCCAAGAAAAATGAGTAAATCTCTGTGTCTTTGTGTCTTGGTGTGGAGAGGTAGCTTCTGCTCCATGCCAGATGGAGACACAACTCCAGGGTAATTTTATTTTATTTTTTTTCTGCTGCCAGCACAGCAGCAAAAACAGCAGTTCCAAGGACACCAACAATTTGCAGGGGAGAAAAAAAACCTTCCTGCAGCCACCAGGATTGGATGCTTCTTCTGGGCTTTTCTACACACTCCAGCTAGTTTGTGTGGAAGGGCTGGTTTTCTGGATCTGCCTCCCCTTGCCCTGTGTGAGAGATGGTTCCCTTCATCCCATGCTGGGCAAAAGAGAAGCAGCATGCCTAAGCTCTACAAACAGAATGTTCCTTTTTTTAGTGATTCCCTAGATTTTAATGCAGAGGAAAGAATCAAGACATGCAAAATTATTGTGCTATGAATTTATAATAACATTTTATTAATATATTATGCTACAAAAATATTTTGATAAAATAATATTAGAAAGCATCTTTTCTTTACACTCTTCAAAACAGTTCACAAAAGCAGGAGGCGGAACAGGAAAAATATTTGAAATACATTTGAATTGAAAACTGCAATTTGAAATTCAGTGGGAGCATGAATCTGCAGGATGGTTAACCAGTCCCATAGAAGAAAAGTATTTACTACTTATTGGAAAGTCCTCCCTGCCTTTAGCTAGATTAAGGTGCCTCCTGAAAAGTTAGTCACAGGAAAGGCTGAATTTGGGTTGGGACAAAACACACACGCACACAACATGCACACATCCACATAAACATACACACACATACACACACCCCCCTATGATCTCAAACACTGGCAAATTAACTTTCTGCTTCAGTTAAGCTGAAACAAGCTTAAATTGAAGCTGAATTCTAGCACACTCCATGGAACATTGATCACTTCAGAGATATGACAAGCCCATATAATTTTTGGATATAATATAGAAATACGGTACTAAGCAAAGTTTGGAATGATAACATTTATGCTGAGATAATAACTTTGGCACTTTGGTTTCTCTAACATAAATATATGATGGGAAATTCCTCCCTAGCAGTGGTATATGGTAATGACTGAGTCATATCGTTTGACTAATCAATGCACTAAACATAGATTAAGTTCTCCCTCCTTTCATCTCTCTCTCTCTCCACAATTGTATATTGAAGAACTTAGATAAATATACAACTCTGTACCTTGGGTGTTCCTAAATTACAGTGGAGCTTGGAGGAATGGGAAGGGAAGTTCAACAAAGCAGATTTTTGACACCTGTATAAAGCATAGTTATCATAAATCATGTTCATCATTTATTGCCAGAAGACATATTGCATTATTCAACAGCCCAAGGGATTGCAGAGAAACTACATCAGTCATAAAATATAAAATACCTTCTGTCCCAGCTTACTAACTGGTTCTCCAAGTGGCAGTGCACGTTAATATAGCATCCATAGTTAGACATAAGCAAGAAAAGCATTAAAACAAAGAAAGATTGGAAGTTAGATCTGTTGCTGATGATATGGGATATTTATTCCACCAGGGGAAGACCTTGGCAGATAATTAGCATTTGTTTATAATGCTACAGTTACATATAACATGAATTGTATTGGTGTCAGCTGTAGCTGAGTTGAAAAGATGAATCATATGACCACTGAGCTTTGGACTCATCCAAAATCGTGTCCTAGATTGCCAGACACTGTGTGACTCTTGATTGTGTTCTCAGACCTGAAAAGTATCACCAGTGTTTGCTATTTTATGTAGTGGGCATGGATATTTTTGTTAAATCTCCTGCTCTTGTAATCTTGTGATTGCATGGGAATCTGAGCTTTCCTTTGGAAGAAAGAAAACAGTCTTTTTTGAGAAACTCACAGAGGAAGCTGAAGCCCTGTGAAGCTGGTAATCAGTGTTGCTTCAGGACCATGTATCAAGTCTGGTGCACAGCTTCTAAACTCACAGTGAATATAATCATGATCCAATGCAATGGGTGTGCATAGATCTGCGCTAACCAGTATTACTGTGTTTTAATTAATAAAACAGTTATAATTATGAATCAGCTGTTGTAGCTGATTAGTAAACGATCCATTTCATCAACCACAGTGAGGGTTTCATTATCCAGCATTGCTCTGCTTACATGCCACATATTGAATAAAGTGACCCTAAGTTGTACTTTAGGGTAAGGCATCAGAATAAAAGAAGTGTTTGGTTAGAGAGCTGTGCTGAAGCCATTCACGTGGGGTTCCTGAGCCAAGACCTACAGGAACCTACTTAACCTCATATTTAATGCAAGTCATGCTTCCTCCCTTAACCAGAGAAAACTCAGATGATCAAATGACTTAACTGCTTCTAGGTGTGCAGACCCCAAATCCAGGAGACACCCTGCACTGACACCTGCACTGCAGTAGGATAAATGTGGGGCACCAGCACAAGGGAAGTTCGGTGAGTTCCAGTAACGTTCATTAATTTCATGGAATTGCAGGCAAAATGACAGGAAATGAGAAGCCATTAAAACATACTTTGACATCCAAGCTGTATCATCCTGAGACAGCCAAACACACCACGGTGTCTGAGCTAATGAATATTGAATTGTCCAATGGAGGAGTGACTCAGAAAGCCTCATTGGTGACAACAGTGACTGTTCTGTGCAGTATGATGACAGCCGTGAGCGTGGAGAGAGTGTGTGTGTTCCTAATATTAAAAAAAAAGCCCCAGAGGCTTATGGAGAAACCCACAGATTGGGAAATGATAAAACTGTAATTTCTAGTCTTGGTCCTGTTGGTGGTTCTCCTTATGGTCTTGGAAAAGTTGTTTCTGTTTTCTGCTCTTTTTTTCTCTCCATTATCTTTATATGGTCTTGTCTATTTATACTGTAAGTTTTCCATCATCTGGAATTATTCCTGGGATAGTACCACAGAATAATTTCTGGATTCAATTTGATTACAACAAATAAAATTCAGTGGGTTTTGGTTTGTTGGCTGTTCCCTTTTACTATGTAACTTATCATCAGCCTTAAGATTTGCCTACCTTATTTCCAGTTCCATTTGTGTAAATAAAACATTATAATTCAGTTTTCATCTTTGCCTTGAACACAGCAGGAGAACCAATAATCTATTTTAAATGCATTAAGGTTGAATCTGAAGGTCTGTTAAACCATTATATTCAAATGAAGGCATTTCTAGGGTAATAGCTCAAATAAAACCAAAATGAGAGTTCTCAAAATATGTTTCCAATATCCATCTCTGTGCAATAAATATGCAAGGTGAATGGCTTCTGTCCAAAACTAACATTTCTAATCTTCTGCTAGCCAAAATACACAATATGAAAGTATGCAGAGGGTCTCTTTGAATCTCACATTTGGGGCAAAGCTCAAAGTTTTCCATTCACCCTTATCATCTGTTGTGCTTGAAAAGAAAAAGGGGGAAGCTTATAGCACTGTCTGCTGTACCCACTTTGACTAGAAACCTACACAACTTTCTGTCAAAAACAGAGCAAAGGCTGGGGGTTGTGGTGTCCAGTAAGTCAAAAAGAAGTTATCTGTATTATCCCTGGCCTTTGTAAGGCAATGAGCTGGGATACGTGAGGGAAATGCTCAGTAGTTCATCATGGTTTCAAATGAAACCATGTGACTTTTGTAGTCTAGTTACTTTCTAAACTGCTTTCTTGAATTAACTGATATGATCACAAGCAAACCATGAATTCTGAACTCTCTCTTGCTGCAGAGACTTTCAGGTTGCGTGGAATATCTGCAGCCCTGGAGACCAGGCTCTAGGGCTCCTGGGGAACTGACAGGACTGTTTTCAGTCAGAATTTTATCACTATTGTTATTATAATCATCATCATCATCATTATTTTTTTTCCCAAGGTGAAAAAGCACTGCTTTTCCATAAAAAAAACCCCTTGTATTGTATATTTCTGGTTTTGAGACTTCTAACTATGATGTTTTCATCATATATTTTGGTTTGTAGATGACTTAGAAAGAAAAACGCTATTTCAACCCAAACTAATTTTCTAGTTGAAACTCTTGCATCCAAAGGGATTTTTCGTCATGTTTTGATGGTGAAAAAACATCAACATGCCTTATAAAACATAATAGTTTTTTAGATGGCTTGATTTTTTTTCCCCCATAGATATTGTTCATTGCATTCATTAACAGTAGCTGCTTGGATAGGGAGTAAATTGTTCAGTGAATGTAAGGTGTCATAACTTTTTCATCCAAGTCAGCAGAGGTACCACAGTGTAAAAATGTGTGTCTCTATAACACAGGGGTTAATTTGATTCCTGTGGTCTTGAACAGATTTTGGACAAGTCATAATTATTTCAGCACAGAGATATCAGCTCTATCAGCTCATAACAGCAAGATGAAAGGGAATTTGTAGATGTTTTTTGCCTCCAGGTTGTCCATCTGCATTAATACAATCAGTACAAGGAAGTTCTATAGATTAACAGGACACCACATCTTTATACCCTACAGACAGACCAAGCTCTGTTCGCATTTATGCTGGGAAAGGTTGTAGGCTTGTGTTGATATAAAATGAGGGAGAGAAGAAAATAATTTCAGTAGGATTATTCCAGACTTGAAAAGCAATTTTTTATTAAGAAAGGTGTCTTAATTTGTGTTAGCTAATGAATTAATTCCAGGGCTAAGAGGGAAATTGCTAATTTCCAAAGAAAGTAAATAGTTTAGTTAAAGAAAGCAGGGGAATGTAGAGGATTATCTTGACTAATGACTTACTAAGTCATAGAAAAATAACTGGTATTTTAGGTTGTAGCAGCTAAAGAGTTAAGAATGCACCTATTTTTTTAATGGGTATAGGCCACAGAGAGCAGAATCTGCTTCATTCAGTGTAAGCTATGCTAATGAGATAAAACAGTAAAATAAAGAAGTTCAGCAGAAATGTACTTATTGGACAGTTGCAAAAAGTAATGATTAAAGAAACAAAGAAAGCATTCATTTGGTGTCAGTTCAGACATTTGCAGAATTGTCAGAAAACGAATATAGAAAATATTAATTTATCTGTTTCACCATCGCTACTGATTAATAGGGATGTTATTAACATATACAACAAGAAAAATAAGTTTACCAGTCGAATAAATACATTTTTTCTTTTTCTTTTTTTTTCTTTATATGAACATGTATATTTTACAAAACCCCATAGCACTATGGGAAATAAAGATCCTTCTACAAAAAGAAGATGTAAGTCAGTGTTACAATAAAGCTTTAGAATTTCAAAATGTATCTGGGCAAAGAGACAAAATCAGCTAGAAGGCACTACTGAGTCACTGAGAAGGTCCAGCTTGTAAATGTTGTTGTCTTAACCTCCAATTCGTTCATAAATTATCTCTCTTCTCTATTCCAAGGGATTGCACGTAATCCTGATGTGGTCAGGAGGGCTGCAGTATATTCAGGAGAAAAGAAGCTATGGTCATGCAGAGAGGAAATGTTATTGATGGCCATAAAAGACTGGCTGCAGCTGAGCTTGTGGGCTGAGGCTGGGATGGGCGATCGGAACGCGGTCTCTGATCCAGCTGGTTTGAAATCCAGATGGGAGGCTTGACTGTGATGTAGCCATTGGTTATCCTGATATAGGAAGGCAACGTGGTGGTGCTAAAAGAAAACACAAGAGAAGGAAATTAAACAGCAGAACCCTTATCTCTACTCTGTAAACTGTCATTCCAAGTGGTAGCAACCACAACTATTATTATTATTATGTTCTTAGGTACCTTCTTCCCACTAAGGGTCTCACAATTTGCCACGTCTCAGTGACATGTCTTACTCACCAAGGACTGGCTACTATGTCCAGGAGAGAGGCCACAAATCACATCCTTCCCCTGTTTCACAAGCCTTAAAAAATTTCTCTGGATCCCCTTACACAACTGATAACCTTGAGTACAGGAGACCAAGCAGGTTCATTTCTTTTTCTGGCTTTAAGCCATGTTGGATCAAGTCACAATGCCAAAAGCAGACTCAGTCAGTGCTAAATTTCCCTGCCCATGGATTTGTCTCAATAGCTGTGTGATTGCTTATTGATTGTAGCTCGAGTTAGTACTTTGATTTGAATTTGCAGGTTGGAATTCATCATGATTCCCATGACACTGGAGGTCAAAAAGGTCCATTTACAATTGATTTGGAAGTTTTAAGTTGTAATTTCCATTTCATAAAATGCCTCCATTGCATCCATTACTGGATGATCCATAATCCACCAGTTGTCACAGAGCAGCACAGCTGAGCATGCAAACTGCACAGGGTGGATTTTGGACTTAAACCCAAGGCATTCTGCTGAGGAGCAAGGAGTGAAAAAGCAAGTTCTCCTTAAAACAAGAAGTGACACTAATACCTGCGGATTCTCTAAATCCTTCATGATTTGGAGGCACTGAAAACGACTGTCAAATAATTTTTTTATGGGGTAAGAAGCTATGCAGTCCTATAAATATTTAGCTACAGTATCCGAGATCCTGACCTTGGAAGAAAAAGGTTGTGTCTTGCATAATATCAGATAAAAGGAACAATACCTTACTTCAGATTCATGCAGAGAAATAGAATTCAGAAGCACCTGAAGGCTTTTGTCTTTTTCTGTCTAAGCAATACCAAGATAGATTTTAGAACAGATGCTTTAAATGTGCTGAATCAATCACAAACTGAGAAGATCAGGGCGTTGGTAAACACACACGAGGGTCAACTTCAAATCCCACAGACAATCACTGCACATCACACTTCACCCCAGATTTTGGGAGAAGTCACTTCATTTCTTCACTCATCCTTTATACTGTCACCACATCTTCTGGGTGGGATAGTTGTTCTGTAGCTAGAAGTGATCTTAACTAATGTGCAATGAATTAGAGTAAAAAGGCAGTCTTGAATTCAAGGAATTGCTTCATGGGAGCAGATAATCCCTCTAACCAGCACTAGGACTTTGACAGTGAGGAGTGGTGCTTGTTCCAGAGGAACAACCTGCTGTAAACAGAGAATTCTGAAATGAAGGCTGGTCAGAGAAAGCTCTTATCTCAGTTCCCAAGGGCAGTGGTTGGTTTATGTCTTGAACTGATGATATGACACATAGCTTTAGAGCTTCTGCTATATTGCATCAAAACTGCTGCAGTCACTTAATGCAAAGAGTTGATCAGAGATAAACTAATGCTGCTGCTTCAAAACTGTCCAGCTTTTTTTGAGCGGATACTTTAGTGCTGGCAGATACCAGACCAGGCACTGTGTCTCCAAGCTCCTGTAATGTAAGTAACATCAAGTGTGAATGGTACTCCCACAGTGAACACAAAGCATCATTAAAGCAAACCTGACAAAACGAGGCCCTACACTCTATGCATAATCCAACAGAAATGCAGTCAGGCTCCACTTTCTGATCCAGACCTCATTTATCCTGCTGAGTGATGATGTGGTGCACAGATCTGGCAGCACTGATAACAGGATCACAGTTTGGGGGGTTTTCCCCTGTACCAGGTTTCCCTAAGATATGTAAGGGTAGGTGCTTGTCCTCATCTTTTGGTTACTGATTGTCACTTTATGGAACTACAAAATGTAGCCCTAAATTAAATTTTAAACTACAAGGAGGGTCTGGTTTTCAATATCAATTTAAAAAACATCACCAAAATGTCATAAAGATTTGCAGTTTACGTGTATCCTGTTGCTGACACATTCTCTGGGCTTGATCTTCCAGTGAGATTAAAATGTTCCTTTGCACAAACTGTCTTTCTGCTCTTCAGGGATGTCCTGTGTACCAGGGCTGGCCGGAATGCCCATAAAAGAATCACAAGCCCACTCATCAGCCAACTACATCTAAGAGATTCCTAAAGCAGCCTTAAATCAACATTTTATGTTTCTGTATGATGTTTCCATTTTTTAGTCAACTTACAGAAGTGTTTTGTTGGGGTTTTTTGTTGATTTTCTTTTTTCCCTTGAAAACAGGTATTTTTTTAGGGAACACCCCTCCCTCCCCCCAATTTACTTAAGACCCCAGAGTTTCCTGTCGAAAGACCTGAGAATTTTTGATCACTTCTCCTCAGTCAATGAGGCAATTTTCTGTTTTCTAGACATTAGATTGCTATAAAATGCATTCTTGTCAAGATAAATAGTTAGGTGGGGTTGTTTATTTTGAAAAAGCCCTTAAGTGCTTTACAAGACAAGAACAGTGCATTTCCATTAATGTGTACAAAGCATGCTAATAGCAAATGAATCACTGTTTATTCGTATAAAACATTTTCTTAAATGTACTTTTAGCTGACTGCCAAAGTGGTTTGGAGATATTGAAAAAGAATGATCCCTTTTACCAAATGCTACAACTCCTTGTAAAATGTCTGGTCCTAGTTTGTAACTAGGCTGTTTCTACAGTGAATAGGGAAAGAAACCATTCCAGAAGGTGGTCCACCTCATTCCAGTGCAAGTCTCTAGGGAGTACTTACTCTTGTTCAGGGTCTTTCACTTCCTAGGGGTTACAGAAGGGCCCTGGACAGCCAGGTTAGATTACAAACTAATCTTAGAGGTGGCCCTGGTGTCAGGAGATGACTTCTGCAAACTCCCTCTGAGTACGTTTGCATGTGCACGTAGCATCTCACTGACCCTCGGACCTTCCCCGAGGATGAAAGCAGCAGCAGAGTCCCCTGAACTCAACCAGAAACCTTCCTCAGGGAGGACTTGATCATTGCAGAAATGAACACAGAGAATGATAAAAATGAATCACAGATCTGTGGGATAATAATCTACATTATTATCACGTCTTCTCTTGCCAGCCCAGGATATTCTGTGTTTCAGTCTTTTGCATCTGATAAAAATATCTTTAATAAAACATTCCACGATCTGTGGTGAACAGGCAACCACCGGCTCTGCTGTTCATACCTCTCTATTTTGCTTCTGTGTATGGGATTGTTTTAAAAACTTGGAAGACTCCAGGTACGTTTTAGCCAAATGACCTGCGGTATCGTATTCATGAGCTTGTACTTTTGATCAGATAATAGGGCAGTTTTTCAAATGGGTGCATTACTCATACATTGTCTTACCATCATTAGAATGTGTAAAGCTTTCCCCAGAAATGGGGCCTCAGGCACAGGCTCTGTGCACAGACCCTACTGAATCCAATTACATGATTCAAGCCCTCTAAGCTGGGTGGGTGCTCAAGCACCTTGACGATTTGGGAGCATTTTAAAGCTGAAAAATAAAACAAACACACATGCAAACCATTGAAGGAATTTCTGCTCTGGTTTAGCTTGTGAACACTTCACAAAGAGCTCAAAACCCAATTTTTAGTGTGACTTGGTTCACCCACATAAGCAGGGCTCATCTGACCATCTGTGACACCACAGGAGGACAGAAGTTTGGACCAGGAGAGTCTTTTTGGCCCATTTGGCTCAAAGACAGGAACAAGATCTAAACCCCTCCTGACATTTTTGTCTAATCCAATCTCAAAAAAACCCTGCAATGATAGCAATTCCAGAGTCTCTGCAGACATCTATTGCAGAATTTCACCATTTCTGATGTTCAGAATTACTGCCTAATGTTTTACCAGATCTTCCTTGCTAAGTTCATGACTTGTCCTATCCCCATGGACAGGTTTATTCCTTTCCTCTTCTCAGCAGCCTTTCACGTGTTTTGAATATTTAACCATGTTTCACCTCAGCCTTCTCTTTTTTAAACAAACAATTCCCTTCCACCTTTCTGCACAAGTCCTCAGGTGCTTTCCTTCCATCCTTTCTTCTGCTCTCCCCTGGCTCTGCTTGGCTGATCAGTGTCTTCTCCGGAATGAGATGCCCCAAACTGGAAACAGTATGTCCAGCTGAGGTACCACCAGCCCTGTGCTTCGTGCAGTAGGTACCACTGCCTCTTTATTTGCAAAGTGCATGAAAAATAGGCAATCTCCAAGAAGAGAGTATTTTCACTACCTTTTGCTCTAAAGTCCAAACCACCTTTATGGTCCCAGTAACTGTTCTGAAGCTCATGGAAAAGTGATGGTGCTCTGAGGGGGTGAGGACCAACCCAATTATCGTGATATTTCTATGCATTTTTAATCTGCTGCCATGCCTCAGTCCCAACACGGTTCTGTTCAGGGTGGAGGAAGTAACCCTTTTAAGCATAACTTACAAAGTGTTTGGGGATTTTTCTGGATCAAAGGAGCTATGTAAACACATGACAATTATTTTTAATAAATGTAAACAAATGTTGCCCCAGACAGCCTTTCTTATGATAGCATCTGATGAAAGAAGCTAGACTGAACCCTGAAAAAATGCATGTTTCAACTGAAAACCTAAAAAGCTGGTAAAGTGAAAGAAAATTTTTGAGTAAATACAATAATGACTGTTTTGCATTTGTGATTTGATGTTAACCTTATGATGGCTAGGGGTTTTCTTAAGTGATATTAAGCATATGCTTCCTGTTTCTTTTCAAACAAAATTTGCCTTACTTTTTTTTCCCCTTTCATTTAATGAACAGATGTAAAAGGAGTTGATCACATTATTTTTCTGGTGATCAGAAATAATGTTCTGCAAGTGAAGACAATTACTCTTGGAACTAACCAGACCTATTTATGTCACCAAAATTTATTAATCAAGATTTGAAAAATACATCTGCTTAAAGTGCTGGGACCAATCCGTTGCAGTATGCAA